ATATATTTTATGTTTCAGAGAGAAAGAATAGAATAAATTATTTATTGTTAAAGTCATTATTGTATTTAGTAGTGGTCCAAAGCGATATGCCTTTAGTAAAATCGAAGACTAGTGGCAGTGAATCAAGGATCAACACCAAAGCATATTAGGATTTCATTGAGCCTGTTGAAGACCAATATCGGAATAAGTCAAAACAGTTTGACACATACTATTTTGGTAAGCCGATTTTGGAGTGCAAACTTAACTAGCAAGTTTAGTTCACCACTTCCTACCAACTCGTGTCCTTGTATGAGAACATGATTAACATGTGTGTCAAAGAAAGTTCAACGTGATATTATAATGGTACCATGCTTTTTTTTTTTTTTACTATTTCTTCTTTATACAAAAGAATGGGTTGTGGTAACAAACGTCTACATCATTTTCAAAGGTTGAAATATAAAGAACAGACATGAATTGATCAACAAATAAGATGAAGATACGTGTTAAGGTTGACAAGCAACATTTAATGAATTGATGCTATAAAAGGCGACCTCTGACAATATTGCAACTCACCTGTTCTGATAGAAATTCTGAATGATAGTTTCCAAGGCAAATTAATATTAACATCTGAAGATTATATCAGTTCTTCATATCTGAAAGAGTACCATTTTCTATTATTTCAGTATCTTCTTATTGAACAAATTTGGATAAGGTCTTACTTTCCTAGTATCTACCACAAATCTGTAATTCTTTGTTTTTATAAACATACAGAATTAACAAGTGAAAACATGTTATGTTTGTATTCAACTCCCTCTTCTACAAACACTTTATGTATTAGTCGTTACCCAATTAGGACTATTTACTGTGTTTGTTGTTATGCACAGATCATTGAATGGTTGAGCATATTTGGTTATATATTAAGTGAAGTTGATCTTGTGTTATAATATTGGATTTTGTAGATATTTTTGTTGCTAAAGGAGATAATCTAATTACAGTTGTTCTTTTCAGATATTATGCTTAACAAGATAGAATATTGTTATTAAATACTTTCTCGCAAGGTTCCGCTTTGACAATGTGTAGATTACTCTTCATTTTGGGATATATATTATGACCATGACAAGCATTCAAGTGATTTTATTAATCGAATTCAATTTGTCACGTTAGCTAATAACTCTTTTGTTGATAAACATTCTTTTATGTAAAACCCAAAAATTTGTGGAATAAATAATTTATCTTTATTACTATTTTATTTTAAGAATATATATATATATATATATATATATTTTAAATAAAAATAGAAGGTTGAAATAAGTTTAAAAGTCGGACCAAAAGTGAAGGAAGAAGTCAAGACCTGGGTGAAAGTTGTCAATTCGCGAAAGTTAAGGGACTAGGTCGTGTGTAAGTAGGTCCAAACCAGAAGGACCTGTTTTGTAAATAGGCAACAGACCTACAACAGGGTGGCCTGCTGTCAACGATCGAGAGAGACAGAAGAGGAACAGGTGGTGCCTGGTTCAAAAGGCGAAACTGTGACCTGCCGGTTGCAGGCTGTGGAGAAGCCGTTCACAGCCTAAAACTAGGGATTCGGCCGATTTGGTCAACTAATAGGCCAAATCGTTTGAGTATAAATTATGGGCACTGGTTAGGGTCGCTATTCATTTGAAAAGAAGAAGGAAATCGTTGAGCTTGAGAGAGAGAAACCGGAGTTCAAGACCAGGCAAAAACCCCCTGCTTTCCCGTCRTTTAGAGGTAAATACTCAACCAAAATTTATGTTGTTACAATGTTTAGCTRTGCCTTTGGCCCTGTATAGAACTCTAGAAGGCTCATGTTCCAAACTTCGTGTTTTAGAGTTCGAATTCAAAGTTTAGATTTCATTTGGTGAATACGCTGTATCGCGTTYTGTTTAGAAACCACTTTAAAGAAGGTTATACAGAAGCTCTGTATGAGAGCTCTGTATCAAGTTATATGGTACAGAAGCTCTACATGGGAGCTTTGTATCAAGTTATAGTAGCCAGAAGCTCTATATGAGAGCTCTGTATCAAGTTGTGCTAGACAGAAGCTCTGGAAGAAACCACAGAGGGGCTCTGGTCCTTGATGTGAAATTATTTTCTATGGGTTGGTTCAACTAGAGGCTCTGGTCGTGAAACCAGAAGCTCTGGAAGAGAGACCAGAGGGGCTCTAGTCATATGTTAGTGCAACCAGAGGCTCTAGTCATGAAGACTAGAAGCTCTGGAAGAGAGACCAGAGGGGCTCTGGTCCTGAATGGCAAATATTTTCTAAGTATGATTTAGAACCAGAGGATCGATGGACGAGTTACTAAATATTTTCTAAGTGTGGTATACAACCATAGGGGCTCTGGTCCTGAAGGACTTAAGAGCTCAGAGGCTCTGTCAATACAACCAGAGGCTCTGGTCGTCCACAGAGGCTCTGGCCTTCTTCCAGCCTTAGTCATTTTAAGATATATAGCTAGACAATACACCTTATGTTGGAACTCACGTTTCTATAATTTTGATTGATGTGAGGAGCATTTAAGCATAGTTGACCAAGGTTGACCCTAGCCAACGTAGKTGACCGTAAGTTGACTTTTATGTAGCCTTTRGGAGAAATTMATCATTTATATGCTATTTGCTATTATAAATTGTAGGTTACCAGTCAKCAGYGTTAGATAAGCAATCTACGTTATCAGGTGAGTCTTCATGAGACTTACAATGGGATGCATACCTATGTATAAACTTATTTTCAAGCACTATACGRTTTATATGATGATGGTACAAATGCATGATGTTTTAAGTTTACATACATGATATGTTTTACATGTATGACGTTTTATGATCAGTTGCATGCTATGTGTTTAATCAGTTTTTGAAAACTCTAGCATGTTTTTCCATACCAAAGTTTGATGATTTAAGGGTGGGCATTTGRCCAGTGAGTCACGACCAGTATAAAACACTACCCGGACAAGTGGGTGATAAGTTAAGATTTTGATACCCAGGGCGTGTTGGTGACTAATAAGTCACGACCAGTATAAAACACTACMCGGAYAAGTGGGTGATCAATCGAGAACGAAGTATCAACCCGGGGCGTGTTTGTGACTAAATGACCCATTCCAGACAGATAATTTATGAGATCTCATTTCTTTCAGTGTTGCATGTTTTCAGAAATTGCATGCTACTTGGTAGAAGGTTTACAAGTTGAAATGTAAGACGTACAATGATTTTATACACAAAAACCATGAACTCATTGAGCTTTATAAGCTGACTATAGTATGCATCTCAGGCCCAGGTAGTTCAAGGACGGATAAAGGCAAAGGACATGCTTAGAGTGTTGCTTATTATCATCTCATTTTAGTCTTTTGTCTAAGATGCGCTGTAATGATCTTTTGTAACTTAATCCCAAGAGAAGGTGGGTTAGAACTTAAGTTAGATTTTGATGATTCAAAGACTTCCGCTGTAATAGTTTAAATGGTTTTAAATTAGCCATTACTTTGGTGTATTTATTAAGGAAATATTTCAGATTACGTAACGTCTCTCTTGATGAAAATGAGGGCGTTACAAGTTGGTATCAAAGCCTTAGTTTAAGGTAATTAGGCTAAAACTTGCTTAGCTTAAGCTTAAACTGAGAAGATTGTTAGAGCTTTAGTTTAAGGTAATTAGGCTAAAACTTGCTTAGCTTAAGCTTAAACTGAGAAAATTATTAGAGCTTTAGTTTAAGGTAAATAGGTTAAGATTTATTTAGCCTAAGCTTAAACTGAAAGGATTATTAGAAGCACATGTTCATTATGTATCGGCGTTGCTTAGCATGCGATTAAGTTTGATCCTACGTCACTACTCGATTTAGTATTCCTTTTTTATTGTAGGAGACATGGTTCACACCATTCACACCAGGGCTATTAGACGCGGACACGGACGCGGATACGGAACCCGTAGGACGCCTTACGGGCTAGGACCGAATAGAGGGTCGATAGACAGTCACCGCCCCAGCACCGGACAGGTTCCCGATACCCGGTCCGGAAGCAATAGTCCGTCCCACACGGGTGAAGCGTCATCAGGCGAGCCCATCAGGCAAGGGACCATGCCCAAACCTTCGGAAGACTACACGCCCTGCACCCCTACACGTGAGGACATGATGGAGACTATAGAGAACCTGAGGGGCGAGAACACAAGGCTAAAAGAGAGGGTGACCCGAACGTTAGATGACAATACTAGACTGAATGAATGGCTGAACAATCTTCAGCGGGCACATGTCGAACAAGGAGGAGCCCAAATCGAGCTGATTGAAGAGAATGCGGATTTGTCGGACCAGTGTCATGCCCTGATTTGGGACAAAGTTGTGCTTGAACAGGAGCGGAGAATTGCTGCTCGCCCA